AGACCAGGGGATGGGTGTTATCAGAGCCCCTGGGGAGCAGGGCGCAGAGAGCTCCAACCTACAGCTGCGTTCTGAGGAGCAGTCACCTCCCTGGAACCCCAGCTCACTGGCCCGGGACTCGTGGCTTTACCACTCTGAGTCCAGGGCAGCCCCCTTCCCTCAGCAACACCCAGGCCAGCCTGGGAAGGGGCAGGAGAAGCGTGCACATGCAGGGCTGGTGTTGGAGAGGGGCCCACATGAGCTGGATTTCAAATTGCCCCCCCAAAAAATGTTTGCGGTGCTGGGCTCCCAAGTTCTGGCTCAGCCCGTTATGGAGAGAGGGGCCAGCTCTGAGTTGGGAGCCCCCCGGCCTCCCAAATAAAATCCATGGCGTTTGGTGCTGGCCCATGTCCAAGGGTGCTGCTCCTGTGGACCCCCAGGGACTGAGCTCTGTGGCTTCTTCCCGGTCACACGCTCCCCGAGTGCTGCCTGTGAGCGCCCAGCCCTGGCCTCGCTCGCCCGCCCTGCCCCGCCGGGAACCCACCTGGGGTAAGATGGTGATCCGGAAGGACTGGTTCGTCGCCTCGCCCATCAGGTAGAGCGATATGACTGGGAAGATATGCCAGGGGGTGGTGCCGACTTGCCAGCAAACCAGCTGTTCCCCCAGCCAAAAGCCATCCGGGAACTTCTCCGTCTGCCCCGGGGGGAAGGAGAGAGACCGTGAGACTGTGCTGGTGCTCAGTGACTCGGGCTAGACGGTGTATGTGCAGGGTGTCCGTGGGGGGACTCTTCCCTCCAGGGCGGAGCTGATGATGGGGTGGGGTGTTGTCATGCTAGTGACTCTTTTAGCTGAGGCACGAAAGGAAGGCCCTGCCGGTCTGTGCTCTGTGTCATGGCGCTCTCCCCAAGGCAGGGCTGCGTGCCCACAGCCTCCGAGCCGCAGGTCAGCTCACATTGTAAGTGTCCCACTTCCCCAAGTTTCCTTGCAGTTTCAAACGGAAACAGCATTCTTCACTTCCTGTCCTAGCCAGCTGCCACTTTTTACCCCAGAGGGGGCTGCTTTTCAGTGGTGAGCGAAGTGACCCCTGAATATAGTCTGCTAAGCATTCTGTGAGAGCCGGGTCACAGTGGCTTGGTCTCTGGGGCCCTCAGCATTCACCAGGGACCCGGCTGGGAACGGGAGGGGCTAGGGTTTGCCAGAGAGCGATACTGACCGAAGACACCGTTTTGATGGATTTCACTGCAGCCTCAAACACCTTCTTTGGCAGCCGGAGGTTGGTGGTCCCGCTGTCCACGATGCTCTTGTCGTAATTATACTGTGGGGGCGACACGGCGAATGAGGCACCAGCCCCTGCTTCTCTCCTTCTCCGTGGGCCCCCCGAGGCAGCACCCGCCCAGCTCCCCACTTAGCTGCGCCAGACAGGAGGCTGCCAACAGACTTAAACAACTGTTCCTGAGGGAGGCGGGGTCAAAGCCCCGGGCTTGGGCTGATGCCAGCTGAGCAGGTCGCCTCCCGCTGCCAAGGCGCCTGCTCTCCTCCAGCAGAACGTCGCTGGCTGCGTGGAGCCTGCCAAAGGCAGCCGGGGAGGCAAAGTACAGAGCGTGTCTGGCTCAGCGGGCAGCTCCCCGGCAGTCCCTGGGCACAGGGGATTTGTCACATGTACTAATCCAGGGCCAGGCTTGTGTGCTGGCTGTGGGACCGGGACTGGCGCATGCACCTGGAGAAGCATTGATCTCCCTGCTCCGGACGAGGAATGGGCCTGCACACAAACAACTCGCCCCGTTCACTGTCTGCGTCGTGCTGCTCTGGGCGAGGGGCCCCTGCGCCGCCTCCAACCTCCCCCCCTCTCCTGGGCACAACGGGCCTCAGTGTGTAGGGCCAGGGGATGCCCCCATGCGCCCCACAGGTCTGCAGGGAGCCAGACCCACGTGGTGTGCGAGCTCTAAGCCCAGCCACCCTGGCCTCCATCCCTGCTGTGCTGATACGTTGGCCCCGTCAGTGCCACGGAAGGGCTGAGAATCAGGGTGTGCCGGGGGCTGGGGGAACAGTCCCCACTATTTCTCTCTGCGCCTCCCACAGGTGTGTGGCCCTCGCTCGTGCAGCCACGGACGCGTGGCCTCCCACCCCCGTCACCTCCTTGCAGTCCATCTTCAGGTCCTGCCCATTGATCTCCATCTTAACGATGATGACCTCGTAGTACCACTCCTTGCGGATGGGCGTGTACCAGATGCTGCCAACGTGGAGGGAGTGGTCCACGCCCCCGATGATCTGCAGCAGGGAGAGGGGGTGAGCTGCCATCAGCCCCGGGAGCAGGGCACAACCGCAGGGGCTTGTGGACGGGAGCGCTGCCAGCTTTTCTGCCGTCCTAGGCGGCAGAAGGTCCCGCCCTGAAATGCCGCCCCCCACAGAGGCAGTGGAAGGTCCCGCCGCTGAAATACCGCCGCGGTCACCGCCCCCCAAATTGTAGCGCCCTAGGCAACCGCCTAGGTCACCTAATGGGTTGCGCCGGCCCTGCTTGTGGAAAAGGAAATGGGGAACCAGCAAGAACGCTGACTCTGGAACCAGTCCCCGAGGGTGGGTGGGGCGCTCTCTGCCTCGCGACCCCCTGGCATTGCTGCAGCCAGCGCCTGGCACCGCCCCGAGCCCAGGGTCCCAGCACTGAGCTGAGCCCGCGCACTCACCATGCTGCCCCCGACCGACGCCAGGGCCTCGGACTCGTTGGGAAAGAAGCCGGCCCCGCAGAGCTGCAGGGAGAAGATGTTGGGCACCCGGGTCTGCTTCACCAGCGAGTTGAAGAAGGGCTCCAGGGTGTCGTCAGGCTGATGGGGGAGACAGAACCACAGAGCTATGAGCAGCCGGGAGAGACGGGGCAGCTGAGAGTGCTCCTCGGGGACCCCGCGGAGGCCTGGCTCCATTCCCCTGCACTTGCTACAGAGAGACCTGGTGTTGGGCTCCAGGTGGCCGACACGTTTCTGAAAGCCAGAGCCAGCTCCCCCAGGGACTGTGTGTGGGTGACAGCAGAGCTAAGAGGAGAGGGGATTTGCCCGCTCCAGCAAGGCATGCCACCAGCAGGGCAAGGAGCAGCCGGGAATTTAGGTCTGGCTGATGGCAGACTGGAAATATCAACCGGCTGAGATAGCCTCATCCCCAGTGTCTAGAGCAGCGTGTCCTGGGTCACTGATACAGCCAGGCCTGGGGGGCAGGACACGGGTTCTGGTCCCAGTGCTGCTACAGCCTCGGGCAAACTGCGGTCTCTCTCTGTGCCTCAGTTTCCCCTTATATAAGATGGGGGCAGCACTAGGTGGCTGCCTTGTGGGAGGGCTGGAGAAAGGCAGGGTGTTATTGCTCTCCTCTTTGCAGGGCTGGGTTTGGGGTGCATTGATAAAGCCAATAGCTGAGTGGCATGGGGCTGGGTTTGGGGGGCAGTGACGGAGCCGGTGGCCAAGGGGCTAGGTTTGGGGTGCAGTGACAGAGCTGGTAGCCGAGGGACTGGGTTTGAAGAGCATTGACAGAGCTGGTGGCCGACGGGCTGGGTTTGGGGCGTAGTGACGTAGCCGGTGGCCGAGGGGCCAGGTATGGGGACCAATGATAGAGCCGGTGGCTGAGGGGCTGGGTTTGGGGGGCAATGATAGAGCCGGTGGCTGAGGGGCTGGGTTTGGGGGGCAGTGACGGAGCCGGTGGCCGAGGGGCTGGTTTTGGGGGGCAGTGACGGAGCCGGTGGCCGAGGAGCTGGGTTTGGGGGGCAGTGCCAGAGCTGGTAGCCGAGGGACTGGGGTTTGAAGAGCATTGACAGAGCTGGTGGCCGAGGGGCTGGGTTTGGGGCGTAGTGACGGAGACGGTGGCTGAGGGGCCAAGGGGCTGGGTTTGGGGAGACAGAGCCGGTGGCCGAGGGGCTGAGTTTGGGGCGTAGTGACGTAGCCGGTGGCCAAGGGGCCAGGTATGGGGACCAATGATAGAGCCGGTGGCCGAGGGGCTGGGTTTGGGGTGCAGTGACCGAGCTGGTGGCCGAGGGGCTGGATATGGGTTTGGGGAGCATTAACAGAGCCGGTGGCCGAGGGGCTGGGTTTGGGGGGGCAGTGACAGAGCTGGTGGCCAAGGGGCTGGGTTTGGGGGGCAGTGACGGAGCCGGTGGCCGAGGAGCTGGGTTTGGGGGGCAGTGCCAGAGCTGGTGGCCGAGGGGCTGGATATGGGTTTGGGGAGCATTAACAGAGTCGGTGGCTGAGGGGCCGGGTTTGGGGTGCAGTGCCGGAGCTGGTGGCTGAAGGGCTGCGTATGGTTTCGGGAGCATTAACAGAGCCAGTGGCTGTGGGGCAGAGTTTGAGGTACTGGATGTGCTCCCAAACACAGCAGCTGCCTGGCCCCTCTTAGGCCTTGTGATGCTGAACCCCATCCAGGCTGGCGGTGCCGCGCTCACCCGGGCGATTTCGGCATAGGCCAGCCCCAGAATCCCTTCCCAGTTTGACCCGTTGATGAAGAATTTGTCGGACTCTGTGATGGCAGCGATGTTGGCGCGGACGGTGACGTTTGGACCGTGGGGGATGGTGACCAGGTCCGTCCCCAGTTCACCTTCCCATTTGCCCTGGGTGTATGGCACGTAGACCCCTTTCCGCAAGTCCCGGTAGGTGCTGGACCTGCAACGAACGCCAAAGACAGGAGCAAGCCGTCAGGCTAGTTCTACTGGAGCATGGGAGGAGCTGGGGAAAGGGTGGGAGTGTGGGGGGTGGGCAGGGGCCTGGGGGAGGGATGGCCATCTGGGCGGGGCCAGTGAACCCCTGGGATTGTGGAGCTGAGAATCGGTGACGGTGCAAATCTCCATGTTTATCTGCCAGTGGAGGGATTGTGAACTCACATGTATGAATGTGTGTGCGAGCAGACATACGTCTGGGCTACGCGCTGGTGAAACTGGCCGCGTGTCCGTGTGTCCCCAGCCCACCTGCACCTCCACAGTTGGACTATGACCCCCTCCCCGGGACACCAGAGGTGCCCAGGCTAGACTGAACTGCAGCATCCCCATAGGCCCCCTCTGCTACTGGCCCCACCCCAAAGGGAGCCCCCCAGCAGCTCCAAATGCTCCTTCCTGTGGTCCCCGCACCGGGACCAGATTGCAGCTGTCAGTGTGCACAGGGCACTCTGAACCCTGGGGCTGATTCTAGGGTATGGGGGGTGGGGCTCCCCCTCCTCAGACCCTTGGGCCAGGGTCATGGGAGCACAATGGGCCCAGCCAAGGGGAGGGCGACGAACAAGCCCAGACATTGTGCCCAGTGGCTCAGAGGCCGGGCAGTGTTGTAATGTGCTGGGGGGGGGCTCCTTTGCCCCCCTCAGCACAGAAAGGGGCCATTGAGTCCCGCCCCAGCGCAGACGCTGCCATCATGGAGGCCGACCAGCATCTGGCCGTGTCGGCCCTGAGCCCGGGCCGGCGCCGTGCCTGGCACTGCCAGTCTTAGGATTCGAGGGCCAGAGCAGGGGCCCCGGCACGTACAGTGTGCAGGAAGGGGCCGCTCTGTGCCCGGCTGCCAGGGAGAGGCCTGCACAGGCCCCCTCCAGTTCCCCACCAGGCCGGCAGCTGCCTGGGGTATCCCAGCGATGGAGCACGCAGGAGCCAGCCATGCGGCCGGCCTGGGGAGCGATTCCTGGGCCCGGCAGAGGCCCCCAGACACTCTCCCAGAAGCAGTCTCAAGGGTGGCTCCCCGCGTCCAGGGCCTCTACGTCGCTCCAGACTCCCCGTCTGCAAGGTGAGGACAGACACGTCCCTTGGGCCGCCCTCTGCCTGGTCTACCTAGAGAGCTGGCTGGCTGAGCCGGGA